TGGTTGCTGGGAATTGAACTCAGGACTTCAGGAAGAGCAGTCAGTACTCTTAACTGCTGAGCCATCTTTCCACCCCCAATTTTATTATTATTATTATTATTAGACAGGGTTTCTCTGTGTAGCCTGGCAGTCCTGGCACTCACAATGCAGACCAGGCTGGCCTTGAACTGACAGAAATCCACCTGCTTCTGCCTCCTGAGTGCTAGGATTAAAGCTGTGTGTCACCATTGACAGGCTTTAAATTTTAATGTTGTTTAAGGTTGAATTTGAATAAATACCCTGCTGTCTCAAATGATCCACATAAATCACTGGACGTTCTATTTTGAAATTAGCATCTCTGTAGAGAAGCAGCATCCTTCGATCATGACAACACAGGGCCCTTACCATTAAAGTACCACGATGCCCTCAGCCACATGAGGAAAACATCTGGACAATTCTGACCTGGTGTTCTTTTGCCTCCCCCCACTGGCTAGTCATTAAGCCATTCTATCTCTGCCTCCTTTTCTTATTCTTTTTTTTTTTTTTTTTTTTTTGTTTTTGCTTTTTTTCGAGACAGGGTTTCTCTGTATTGTTTTGGAGGTTGTCCTGGAACTTGCTTGGTAGACCTGGCTTGGTCTCGAACTCACAGAGATCCACCTGCCTCTGCCTCCCGAGTGCTGGGATTAAAGGCGTGCACCACCACTGCCCAGCCCTTTTCTTATTCTTTAGACAGAGTTTCAGAGCAGGGGCTACAGTTTTGTGGTAAAGTACTCACCTCAAATGTGTGATGCCCTGGGTAAAATCTCTAGTATGCCAAAAATATCCCCAAATAGGGAGAGTCTTATGTATGTCATGCTGGCCTCAAACTCATTTGAATTCCTAGTTTTTTTGTGTTCACCTCCTGGGTTCTGGTATTACAGGTGTGCACAATCATGCTGTATTCAAGCCAGGACTTCATACATGCAAGGCAAGCATTGTAACCAATTGACCTACATCACCATTTTATTATAGCTTTTTGGGGGGGCACAGAATATTACCATGTAGTCCATGATCTGTGTCTTTGCCTCCCGGTGCTGGAAATAAAGGCATGTGTCATGATGCCCTACTTATTATGCATTTTTTTGAGACAGGGTTTCTCTATATTATTGTTTTGGAGGCTGTCCTGGAACTAGCTCTGTAGACCAGGCTGGCTTCGAACTCACAGAGATCTGTCTGCCTCTGCCTCCTGAGTGCTGGGATTAAAGGCGTGGGCCACCAACGCCCAACTTATTATGCATTTTAAATTACTTTTTTTTAATTCTTCTGTGGGGGCACATGTATGTCATGGCATATATATGGAGACCAGAAGACAATTTTGAGGAGTTTCTCATTCCACCATTTAGGTTCCTGATAGCCAACTCAAGTTATCATCAGGCTTGATGGCAGACATTTTGGCGTACTACGACATCTTGCCAGCCTTTTATTGTTTTGTTTTTTAATTAGAACATATTAATTATACATAATAATGGGCTACATATGACATTTTCATATGTGTATATAATGTATTTAGGTCCTGGTCATACGTACCCCACTAATCTCTCTGGTCCCCTCCCAATCTCACTGGTCCCTATTCCTTCCCAACAGTCTGCCATTTCTACTATCATATTGGCTTTCCCAATGTGAAGCAGGCTTCACTAGGCTTTTGAACAGGAACATGAGCCCTTTATCAGTAGCTCCTGGCATCAAAGAAATGCCTCTCCTTGCCCTATTAAACATTAATTGCCTGCCCCTCAGGGAGGGGCGGGGCCTCCTGAACCTGCCCTCCTCTCTGACAGGAAGGGCTCAATCTGAAGCACATCAGTATAGGTAGGCACAAAAGTGCCATGGCCACATCACACCCAGAAGTCAGCATTTGACATCAGCACCACCATCCCTTCCTCGGCCTCTGACATCCTGTCCCCCTCTCCTATGGTTCTCTCTGAACCCTGGAGTGCTGTGGATGTCTCTCATGTGTGGCTGAGCACACACAGTCACTTAGGACCATTAGGAGTTCTCCAGGAGCCCCTGCCCATTGCAAAGTGGAGCCTCTGGGAAGCAAGCTGAGAGCGGCACTCACCTTCGTGTGCAAACACAACCATTGAGAAGGCAGTTTGACTAGCACTGTGTGTCCCTTCCACAGAGCAACAGCACTGCCCTCTTCCACTAGGGCCTACGACGACGTTACAAGACACAGGTTCTGGGTTGATACTACCAGATGTGAATTCCCTCGTGTGGCACAGGCCTCAAGTCCAACCAAAAAGGATTAGCAGTGAGATACTCCCTGTTAGACTTGTCAGGGTGCACCAGCAGTGGGCCTCTCTTGGTTGTCTAATCCATATTGTTGCATGTAATTTCATAGTCTCTCTAGATCTTGCTCCCCTCTCTACCCAGTGTGTGTGTGTGGGGGGGGAGTGGTATTTTGAGACAGGGTTTCTCTATGTAGGCTTGGCTGGCCTGGAACTTACTAGGTAGTCCCATGAATCACCACACCTGTCCCTCCCATGTTATTTAACGTCTGTTGCCTGGCTTTTCTCACTGGTAAAATAACAGAATCAGCAGTTAAATGAATAATGAACAGGGTAGAGGTTCACACCTCTCATTCTAGCCCTGAGTTCCAGGAAAGCTTGGATTACAGTGTGAGCCACTGTCTCACAATTTTTTTATTAATCTTTTAAAATGTTTCATTACAAATGTTATGTGTGTGTGTGTGTGTGTATTACTTTCACAAAGGTAAACAAATGCAACATAAAAGAATGCAACCCAGCCGGGCATTGGTGGCGCATGCCTTTAATCCCAGCACTCGGGAGGCAGAGGCAGGCGGATCTCTGTGAGTGCGAGGCCAGCCTGGTCTACAAAGTGAGTTCCAGGACAGCCTCCAAAGCCACAGAGAAACCCTGTCTCGAAAAACCAAAAAAAAAAAAAAAAAAAAAAAGAGTGGTTCTCTCTACTCTGTCCTTATGTGTTTGACGTACATACAGAGTTCAATAAGTACCTGTTGAATTTAAAATCTCCACTTATTTACTTAATGTATATGTGTCCTTGAATGTATGTATGTGTACCATACATGTCCTGCACAGGTTCCATAGATGCCAGGTGAGGGTGTCAGGTCCTTTAGAACTAGAGGGTTGTGAGTTACCTAATGTAAGTATTGGGGACTGAACTTATGCCCTCCTCAAGAGCAGTAAGTGCTCTCAACTGCTTAGCTGTCTGCCCAAGCCCTATTTGATTTATTTGTATTTTGTGTCATGAGTGTTTTGCCTGTATGCATGAAGAGGGCAGAAGAGGCAATGGATCCCCTGGAAGGGGAATTACAGGTGACAGTCCCCATGTTGGGGAACTCTCCAAGAGCAGCAAGTGCTCTTAACTGCTGAGCCATCTCTCTATCCCCTATTTTATTCACTTTTGAAAAGTTTCACCATGCTGTTTAAGTCTTTTTTTTTTTTTTTTGGTTTTTCGAGACAGGGTTTCTCTGTGGCTTTGGAGGCTGTCCTGGAACTCACTTTGTAGACCAGGCTGGCCTCGCACTCACAGAGATCCGCCTGCCTCTGCCTCCCGAGTGCTGGGATTAAAGGCGTGCGCCACCAACGCCCGTGCTGTTTAAGTCTTGAACAGTTCTGCTGCAGAGATCCTTACTGCAGCCTTCTGAGTTCTTAGATTCAGACCGTGACTAATCCCCTGTATTTATTTGTTTGTTTGTTTATTCATTCATTCATTCATTTGGTTTTTTAAGACAGGGTTTCTCTGTGTAGCTTTGAAGGCTTCCTGGAACTAGCTCTGTAGACCAGGCTGGCTTCGAACTCACAGAGATCTGCCTGCCTCTGTCACCGGAGTGCTGGGATTAAAGGCGTGAGCCACCAACGCCCGGCATGGTTCCCTGCATTTAAAGTTAAGGTATGTATCGGAAATTAAACAAGTTTGCTGTTGTACTAAATTTACGATCTTGCACAGGCCAGGGAAGGCTCTAGCACTAAGCTATTTCTCCAAACCTTTGAAAACACTCAATACATTAAAAAAAATAATGTATTCTTATTTTATGTACATTGGCATTTTGTTTGCATGTATGTGAGGATGTCAGATCTTGGAGTTACAGACAGTTAGTTGTTAGCTGCCATGTGGATGCTGGGAAATCGAACTGAGGTCCTCTGAAAGAACACTTAGTGCTCTTAACCACTGAGCCATCTCTCCAGGCCCCAACACTCAAAATATTAAGTGTTAGTACTGAGGTCCATAAAGGCATAAGCTATGCTCAATTGGAGAGCGCATCATACCTTTGTCACCTTCAGATATCTCATAGAGTGTGTTGGATTTAAACATACTCCCCCCTTTTTTTTTTTTTTTTTTTTTTTTGGTTTTTCGAGACAGGGTTTCTCTGTGGCTTTGGAGGCTGTCCTGGAACTCGCTTGGTAGTCCAGGCTGGTCTCGAACTTACAAAGATCCCCCTGACTCTGCCTCCCGAGTGCTGGGATTAAAGGCGTGAGCCACCAACGCCCGGCTATACTCCCCTTTTTGAATGCGAATCTTTCCCTCGTCGCTCCCCCCAGTGGCTGAGTTCAAAATTTGAATATAGTATCCAATCAGTTTCGAGAGATCTGATTAAGACCTGCAGGTCGTCGAAGCTGTGCAGGAGAGTACCAACTTATCCTAGAGCTGCCATATGACGTAAAGCCCTGCAGTTATCTTCCAGTGCGCTACTCTAGAACAGGACCCCATCAGAACGCAGCACTGCATTTGCACATGCGCTCTTGCCCGCCGGTGCCAGGAGGCAGGAGCCTTCCTGGCCCTCTCGGCACCCATAACTGCTCGGTGCTTCAGTGGCTAGGTTTCCTGTCCATCAGCTTCCTGCCGGAAGTGCGGAAGGCAGTCTGTTGGGCGGTTTGACTGGATCTTCTCTGGCGGGATTTTGGCATTTGTTGGGTGCCGATTGCGAGTGTGCAAGCGTGGATTTAATTCCAGCTTCGCGGGGAGCTGCAGCGTGCGCGGAGGCGTGGTGCTAGTGTAAGTGCACACGTGCCCCGGATCCCGGCGCTGGCAGGACCAGTGCAGTCACTTTAAGCTCTCTTCCCGCCTGGCTCGTTTGGAAAGAGATTTTCAGAAAGGCCGAACCCTGTTCTAGTCGGACCCCCTCGTGTACCCTGGCGCCCCTCCCCGAGTCCCCTTGGCGTCCCCCGCAGAATGAAGGGTCCTTAGGTCGCTTTCGGATCTTTTGTTTTGGGTTTTTTAGACGGTCTCCCAGTGATTCTCTGGTTGGCCGGAACTTGCTGTGTAGACCAGCCTGGCCTCGAACTTGCAGCCGTCTTCCCAAATCTGCTCCCGAGTGTTGCCAGCTTTTATATATTTGGAAACGGGGCCTCAGTGTAACCCAAGGTGACTGTACCTTTTTTGAATCTAGTTGTATGTTGGTTGTTTCGTGTGAGCCACGCAGCTGGGGGAGGGAAGCTGGGCGGTTAACTGCCCCCAGTTTTACTTAAAAAGAGTAAATTCCAGAACAAGAGGTTGCACAGCTGCTTCAAGATTACAGAGGAAAATTAGAGGGTTCAGTATTTGAGATTAGAGGGTTACGCCCTATCTCCGTGGCCAGAACTCTTGTTTCTGTGCCACCGTGCATGGAACTGGCTGTGTAAACAGATGTTCAGGGTTCTGAACGAATGAGTCTTGATTTCAGTGCCGGTGCCACACTACTAACCACTCCAGCGTACGAACAAGGGTGACTCTTCCAGGTCTACGACGTGCTGACCTGATTGGACGATCTGTTTCCAGTTCTGTCGCCATGGAAGCCCCGCCAGTCACCATGATGCCAGTCACTGGGGGCACCATTAACATGATGGAGTATCTCCTGCAGGGTAAGTGAGCCAAAAATTCACCACACAGACCAGTCTGGCCTCAGGTACCTGGGTTACAAATACACACCACAATGATTGCCTTTTTTTTTTTTCCTTTGTTTTGTTTTTTCAAGACAGGGTTTTTCTGTAGCCTTGGCTGTTTTGGAACTCACTCTGTAGACCAGGTTGGCCTCAAACTCACAGATCCCTCTGCCTCTGCCTCCCAAGTGCTGGGATTAAAGGTGTGCACCACCACCACCACCACCACCACCACCACCACCACCACCACCACCTGCTTCATTTTCTTTCATCTTGGAAAATGGAAACTTGGTATTCATTACTCTTTCTCCCTCTCGCCCAGCATTTACTGATCACCTCCCCGCCTTGTTTCCTATGTGGTTTGTGACCAGTTTCTTTTTGTTTGTTTTTGTTTTCTGAGACAGGGTTTCTCTATGGCTTTGGAGCCTATCCTGGCATTTTCTCTTGTAGACCAGGCTGGTCTCGAACACACAGAGATCCGCCTGCCTCTGCCTCTGGAGTGCTGGGACTAAAGGCGTGAGCCACCACTGCTGTGACCAGTTTCTTTTACTTGGCATTATATCCTTGACAGAATTATGTCCTATGACAGCATTTACATGTTTTTGTTTTGTTTTGTTTGTGGAAACAGGGTCTCAGATAGCCCTGGACTCTTTAGTAGCTAGAATTACAAACCTGGGCTACCAGGCCCTGCTAAGTGCCTGTTTCCAAATCTCTACTCTGTACTGAGTATCTCAAGCGTTGTATCTCCTTACTTGACTCTTAGGGAGTGGTTTGTTCGCTTGCTTGTTTGATTTTAGTTTTGAAGACAGGGTCTCACTTTATGTCCCTGGTTAGCCTGGAACTCTCTATGTAAGCCTGGCTGGCATTGAGCTCACAGAGATCCTCCTGCTTTTTCCTCCTGAGCGCTGAGCTCAGAGACAGCACCCTCATGCTCAGCTTTACTTGGTCTTGCAACGACTCGTAAAATGTTTTTTGTTCTGTTTTGTTTTTAATTTTTATTAGCTCTGCCCTAAAGCCCAGAAGACAGAGATAAAGGCCCAATAATAAAACAAGACCCAAAGAGAATGCTGACTTTTTTAGGAGATCACACGATACATTTAGTGGACAGATTTAGGATATATATATATTTTTTTTTAATTTGTGTGTATGTGTATATATGCACATTTATACAGGTGCTGTTGCAGTTTTCTAGTCCTTAGGCTTGGTAGGAAGTATCTTTACCTGATGAACTATTTCAGCTCTCTTTAATTAGATTTTTCTATTGCATTTTATTTGTTTGGGAGGAGACTTGTGCATGCCACAACACACCTGTAGAGGTCAGGGGACATGTGAGAGTTGGTGTTTTCCCTTTCTTAGGTGGGTATTGAGGATTGAACTCAGATCATCAGGCTTGACAGTAACCGCCTCTACCCACTGAGCCATCTCACTGGTCCCTTTAAAGTGTTACTGAATAAGCATTTAATTTTTGTCCTTGGGCAGTTGTCCTTCATCTTTCTATTTATTTGTTTACTTATTTATGGTTTTTGAGACAGTTTCTTTGTGTAGTCCTGGCTGTCCTAGAACTCACTATGTAGACCAGGCTATCCTCTAACTCACAGAGATTCTTCTGCCTCCGATGTGGCAAATATTTTTTATTTATTTGTGTGTTTGCCTGTTTAGGTTTATGTGCATCATGTCTATGTTGAGGCCAGAAGAAGGCAGTGGATCCCCTGGACCTGGAGTTACAGACAGTTGGGAGCTGCCTGATGTCGGTTCTGGGAACTGAGCTCTGGTCCTCTGCAAGAGCAGTACAGGTTCTGAACCACTAAGCTATTTTTCTAGCCCCTGAATCTTGAACAGTTCTACTGCCTCAGTTTCCTGAGTGTCATCATGTCTGGCTAATAAAAATAATACTGTTTTGTTGTTACTTGCCACTAAGCTACGACCCCAACCTCACAGCCTCCCCTCTTCCCTTTTGGTTCTGGTGACCAAACCCAAGGCCTTTCGTTCCAAGCACATGCTCTGCCATTGATGGACAGCCAGCTACAACTATTTATTTCCAGCAAATGAAATTCTACTTATGGAACAAATTCACATTTTTCTCTCCATATAATTATACTTAAGAACAAGAAGAGCGCCGGGCGTTGGTGGCTCACGCCTTTAATCCCAGCACTCGGGAGGCAGAGGCAGGTGGATCTCTGTGAGTTCCAGGCCAGCCTGGTCTACAGAGTGAGTTCCAGGACAGACTTCAAAACAATACAGAGAAACCCTGTCTCGAAAAACCAAAAAAAAAAAAAGAACAAGAAGAGCCTGGTCTACAGAGCGAGTTCCAGGACAGCCTCCAAAACAATACAGAGAAACCTTGTCTCACAAACAAACAAAAACAAGAAGACAGGCATGTTTTGTTCTCCTTTAATCCCAGCTCTCTAGAAGCAGAAGACACAGTTGAATCCCCAAGTTCAAGGCCAGCCTGGTCTACAGAGCAAGTTCCAGGATAGCCAGGTCTGTACAGAGAAACCTTGTTTCAAAAACAAACAAACAAACAAAAAATCACATAATAAAAAAAGAAAACTATGATAGGCAGAGGCAGGCGGTTCTCTGTGAGTTTGAGACCAGCCTGTTCTACAAGAGCGAGTTCCAGGACAGCCTCCAAAGCCACAGAGAAACCCATCTGGAAAAAGAAAGAAAACTGGCGGTGGGTTCACAAGACCTTAATTTTTTATTTGTAAGGTGGTTATGTCTTAGTTACTGTTCTGTTGTAACACCATGACCAAGGCAACACTTACAAAAGGAAGCATTTATTGTCGCAGGCTTACTTACAGTTTCAGATGAGATCATTATGGTGGGGAGCATGGGAGCAAGGGGGCAGGTAGGTGCTGGAGCAATAGCTGAGAACTGCAGCGTGATCCACTGGCAGAGAGCAAGACGCTGGGCTGGTGTGTGCTTTCGAAAACCCACTCCTGGTAACGCACCTCCTCCCAGCAAGGACCTGCCTCCTAATCTTTCCCTAAGCACTCCATTGACTGGGGTCTAAACCTCAGATATAAGAGCCTGTGGGGGCATTCTCACTCCAACCACCACAGGGCACTGGCTGGGAAGCCTGGCAGTCTGAGTGCAATCTATGAGACCCACATAACAGAGGGAGAGAACCAGTGGAATCCCATGGATTATTCATATGAAGCAATGCATAGAACTATTGTTTATTGGTGTGTGTTTATCTTTTGCTAGTAACCCTTAGTGAAAACTGGGACTCATTGTCTTTTTACCTTCTCAGGAAGTGTTTTAGATCACAGTTTGGAAAGTCTCATCCATCGCCTTCGTGGTTTGTGTGACAACATGGAGCCTGAGACCTTCCTTGATCACGAGATGGTATTCCTTCTTAAGGGCCAGCAGGCCAGTCCATTTGTTCTAAGGGCCCGGCGCTCCATGGACAGGGCAGGGGCACCCTGGCACCTGCGTTACCTGGGACAGCCAGAAATGGGAGACAAGAACCGTCACGCCTTGGTTCGCAACTGTGTGGACATTGCCACATCTGAGAACCTCACAGACTTCTTGATGGAAATGGGCTTCCGCATGGACCATGAGTTTGTAGCCAAAGGACACTTGTTCCGGAAGGGCATCATGAAGATTGTGGTGTACAAGATTTTCCGAATCTTGGTCCCAGGGAACACAGACAGCACAGAGGCCCTGTCTCTCTCCTATCTTGTGGAATTAAGTGTTGTTGCACCAGCTGGGCAGGACATGGTCTCTGATGACATGAGGAATTTTGCAGAGCAGCTCAAACCTCTGGTTCACCTGGAAAAAATAGACCCCAAAAGGCTTATGTGATTAAGAAGGTCTGTCCATCTTTGCGGTCTGTCCTTACTTGGTAGGCAGAAAGGTTTCCCAAGTACCCTGGTTCACTGCTGCCAGTCAGGCGGACTCACTTCAGGAAGACTTGAGTGGTGAGAATTTGTTTCCTTTGGACCATTTCCTTTATATAATAATTTCGTCTGTTTTGTTTGTTTTTTTGGTGTCAGAGTCTTACCCTGGCTCACCTGGAACTCACTACATAACTAGCCTACGGTAAGGGTTTCCTTACCAAGCTGACTGTTTCATCTCCTTGACAGTCATTTCCCATTAGAGGCCCAGGATAACATGGAGATTTGTCCAAGTTCTCCGTCTGCTCAAAATAGGGGAACTGGAATAAATTAGCTTTTCAGAGAAAAATGTCAAAAACAACTCTGATTGTTTTGCTTTTCTTTTCTTGTTTTTTTATAAAAAGTATTTTATTATTTTATTTATCTTTTGTTTTCTTCATGTTTTTATTTGTCTTGCTTTGTCATTTGTATATAAGATGTGTAGCAGTGTTGTGAGTTGGCATTGTATGGTAATAAAGACAGGAAAGAAATCTCTATTCTGATCCTTAGTCTTCTTACTATTACTATTACTTTACTATTATATTACCCTTTCACTATTATTATTGTTGTGTATGATGTGTGTGGGCACACCTGTGGAGGGCCAGAGTACTCTCCAGGACCCACATATAGCAGGTGAGAACTGGTGGTGGCACACGCCTTTAATCCCAGCACTCGGGAGACAGAGGCAGGCGGATCTCTGTGAGTTCGAGCAGCCTGGTCTACCGAGCTAGTTCCAGGACAGCCTCCAAAACAATTCAGAGAAACCCTGTCTCGAAAAACCAGAGAGAGGAGGAGAAGGAGGAGGAAGCACAGACGCACTCCTCCATGAACTTTGCTTTCGTTCCTGCCTCCAAGTTCCTGCCCTGACTTCCTCAGTGAAGGACTAACCCGGGGGTTGGTTGTAAGATGAAATAAGCCTTTCACTCCCCAAATTGTTTTTGGTTGTGGTGTTTACCGCAGCAACAGAAAGCAAATCAGAGTATGCTGTCACAGTGTGTTAGCCTGATGACTCAGACACTGCTCCTGATGGTGCAGCCTCCTTTCTATCTCTAGACTCTGCTCTTCTGCTCTAGACAAGGCCTTCCTTCTCAGTCCAGGTCAGCCGTGAACTTGAGGCAGTCCTTCCTCTTTGGCTCTAGAGAGCCGTGATTACAGGCATGAACTACTACACCCAGCCCTAAATCATACTTTTGTTCTCTCCCACTTATAACCAAAATTGGATTTATTTCTATTTGTTTCTGTTTTTATTCTGAGGTAGGGTCTCATGAAACTCAGTCTAGCCTCATACTTCTGAGGTAGTAAGACTGGCCTTGAACTCACAGAAATCCACTTGCTTCTGTTTCCAGAGTGCTGGGATTAAAGACATGTACCACCATGCCCAGCCTCATTTTCTTAAATTATATTTGTGTGTGTGAGTGCGTGTGTCTGCAAGTACACTCTCATGTGCATTGAGGGTGGAGGTCCAAGGACGACCTTAGGAGTCCGTTATTTCTTTGCCCTGAGTGGCCAGATTGTACCTTTACCCACTGAACCATTTCGTGTCCATTCTCTATTTTCTCGTACTATATAGTTTTAATTTTCACATTTGAGCCTTTAAACCTTTCAAAGTTTCAAGTAGAGAGACCCACCTTTCTTCTTCCTGTGGTGAATTATTTCTGTCACGACCTGAGACACATCTCTCCAGGGCTTGATGGCTTGTCACATCTATCACATACTAACTTCCCGAACACAGGCACACAGGCTCTCTCAAGCTCCCCATTCTGTTCCGTTGGTCTTTCCTTTGTTATTTGCCAGCAGCTGGCAGAGCAGTGTTTTTATTGGCGTTGGGGTAGATCCAGTTCTACCAGTAGGCCAGGCACCCCCACTTCGCTTTCTCCTTCAAAATAGACTTAGCTTTCAAGGGCCACACGCCTGTAACCCCAGCATGTGGGAGGCTCAGGCTACATGCATTCAAGAATTCAAGGGCAGGAGGTTATATGGAAAAATCCTTTTTTTATCCCCTATGAATAATAGATGTTCATGCTAGTGGGTACTCACTTATGGAAACCCCATCTTCCTCTAAGAAAATGTGAGGCTCAGGAGGGCAGGAGTTTTGGTTCATTCTCTGCTGTATCCCAAGCATGCGCAAGAGGGGCCTATGGTAGCTCCCTGGACAGTTATTAACAAATGACTAAAGTATTTTTTTTGTATGTGTATAGTTTTTCAAGACAGGTTTTCTCTGTGTATCCCTGGCTGGCCTGGTGGTGCAATCTTCACCCTCATCACTCAGAAGGCAGACATGTGGATCTCTATGAACTGAAGGCCATACCATACATACTGTCTGGTTCTTTCTATGAAAAGTATGCTCATTCCTCAATACACTACAATTTTGTTGCAATCATATTTTATTCTGTTTGTTGAGGCAAGGTATCAAGAACTCTCTAGCCGGGCGGTGGTGGCGCACGCCTTTAATCCCAGCACTCAGGAGGCAGAGGCAGGTGGATCTCTGTGAGTTCGAGGCCGGGCTGGACTGACAGCCTCCAAAACAATACAGAGAAACCCTGTCTCGTAAAACCAAAAAAAAAAAAAAAAAAAAAAAAAAAGAACTCTCTAGCCCAGGCTGGTCTTGAACTCACAAAGTACACCAGTATCGGCCTCCAAAGTGTAAGAACATTCCTAAGTGGTAGAGCTCTTACCAACCATGGTCAGGATCTTGGGTTTCTTTTTCAGAGCCACAAGACAAAACAAAGAGTTTTGCTGTTAGTTAGCTAGCTTGTTTGTTTGAGACAGAGCCCCATAGAGTCAAGCTTGGCCTTGAACTTGCTGTGTAGCCAAGGCTGGCCTTACACTCCTAAGTATCATGCTAGAGCTATGGCTCACCAGTTAAAAGCACTAGCTGCTCTTTCAGAGGAGCCAGGTTCAATTCCTACCACTTACTTAGGGGCTCCAAGATGACTGTAACTCCAGTTCCAGGGGATCCAATGCCCCTTCTGGTCTCTGCAAGCACTACATGCCTATGGTGCACAGCCATACGTGTGTGTGTGTGTGTGTGTGTGTGTGTGTGTGTGTGTGTGTGTGTGTGTGTGTGTCCCTCCATGAGGACTCAGGAGCCATCCACCTATTTTTTTCTTTTTATCTGAGACAGGTTTTTGCTTGCTAAGCCTGGAGTTTGCCAGGTAGGCAATCCTGGCTGTAAGCAAGCCCCAGGGAACTTCTTGTCTCGTTTTCCTAGCACTGGGATTACAGGCCTATTTTTATGTGAGTTGTGAGGCTTGAACTCAGGTCCTCATTCTTGTACAGCCAGCACTTTACCAACTGAGCCATCTGATCCCTGGCGCCTGTTTCTGTATTACTGACAAACCTGCGTGCTTCCTAAGGGAAGAATCATTTTGCTGGAGAGCATAATAGTTATAAACACAGAGTTTGGAAGTTTAAGTTCCAATACTTTAGGACCTGCGGTTGGGGTTCAGTGTTGAGTTCAGGGTCTAGTACCTAGCACTAAAGACAACATAAATACCCAGAAACAATTGCTACTGTAAGTGTGTTGTTCAAGTAAGTAGAACCATCCTCCCCATTTGTGATGCTGGAGATGGAACTCAGGGCTTCACATGTTAGCCATGTACTCTACGAACCCTCTTCCTTCAGACTATAGCCGAGATTAATAAAGATAATAATCACTTACCATTTGATATATATAGTGGCTGGTTTAAATACAGATGCAGGATCAGGATGATGGCTCATCGGGTAATGGTACTTGCTGTCAACCCTGATTACCTGAGTTCAGTTCCTGGGACTCACATGATAGAAGGAGAAAATCTACTCCCATAAGTTGTCCTCTGACCTCTACATTCGTGCTGCAGTATGTGTACACACACAAATTACTCAGCTGGGTTGGGGATATAGCTCAGTTAGCATAGTGCTTGTCTAGCATTCAGGAGGCCATGGGTTTGATCCTCACCTATTCCAGTGCTTGAGGGGTGATGGAGAGGAGGATAAGAAACACAAGGATATTCTTAGCTACACAGGAAGGGGAAGGGCAGCTTGAGCTGCATGAATGCCTCAAAATGAAAAAAAAGAAAAAGAAAAAGAAATGACTGAGTCTTTAGTGCTCTGACTTTATTTTTAAAATAACTCTTTCAAATTTATCTGTGTCTATCTTTTCATACATCCTCTGTCTGTTTGTCTGGCTGTCTATCCATCCATCCATCATCTACCTACCTATCTACCCATCTATCTATCACATATGTATGTCTCAGGTGCCCTCAGAGACCCAAAGAGGATGCTGGATCCTCTGGAGCTAGAGTGACAGGTAGTTGTTAGTTGTGTGTCACCCAATATGGGTGCTGGGAACTGAACTCAGGTCCTCTGGAAGAGCTACAATCAGCCTTAACCACTGAACTACCTCTTCAGTCCCCCCCTCCCTCTCTCTTTCTTTTTGTTTTTCAAGACAGGGTTTCTCTGTGTAGCCCTGGCTATCCTAGAACTTGCTCTATGGATCAGGCTGGCCTCAAACTCACAGACATCCACCTGCCTCTGCCTCCCAAGTACTGGAACGAAAGGTGTGTGCCACCACACCTAGCTACATCCTAGCTCTTAATATATGTTTTGTTAACTGGATGATGGTGGTGCACACCCTTAATCCCAGCATGCAGAGCATGCAGAAGTCAGAGGTAGCCGGATCTCTGAGTTTGAGGCCAGCCTGGTCTAAGGAGTTCCAGGACAGACAGCCAGGGCTATACAGAGAAACCCTGTCTCAAAAAACAAAAACAAACAAATAAAAAAGTGAAGTAAGGACGGGAATTTTCCACTGCCTTTCTGGCGGTGGAGTCTGTGTGGTGTGCTGAGTACATGAGTGTCAAGAAGGCCAGCCTCCCCTGCACTTGGGAGGAACTGTCTCTCTTCTCAAATGAGAGAGGACTTAGCCTTGGATGCTCTCTGCAGGGACAAGTTCTTCACAGTGCTGATGACCATCGATGGAGAGCCAGACTTTACAAATGGACAGGATGTGAGTCACCCAGCTGGCCTGCTGTCAAGTTGACTGCAATTGTTCCTGTGTTTTTTGTAAGCAGTGTGAGTGTGAAATGATGGGACTAATTTAAGGAACAAATAAACAAACATATTAGATGATAAGCATCAAAATAAGTAGCTTCCTTGGACACTGTTTTGAATTGTTGGAAGAGAAGGGAAAAATCAAACCCATTCATTTAATATCAGTTTATAGTAAAGTTCTTAATTTATTAAAATCGTGATATGTTGCAGCGTGATTGAGGACATGTCAAGTGGACCCCTGGCCTTCACATACATGTGTGCACATGTGCACACACCCACACACATGAAATAAAAAAAGTAATTTAGGGTCTGGTCATGTAGCTCAGTTGGTAGAGTGCTTCCCTGGCATACATGAAACCCTGGATTTGATTGACAGCTCTACATAAAGTGAGTGGTAGCCCTGACTCTTGAGAGGTTGAAACAGGAGACCAGAAGTTCAAGGCCACCCTCCTAGGTTACACATCAAGTTAGAGAGACCTGTTTGGAGTACATGAGACCATTTCTTAGGGGCTAGAGAGATAGCTCAGCCGTTAAGAGCACTGGCTGCTCTTCCAGAGGACCTGGGTTCAATGCCCAGCACCTACATGGCGGCTCACACTTTAACTCCAGTTCCAGGTCTTATACATGCAAGAAAAACACCAGTGAATATAAAATAAAAAGTTGCATATATTTTAAAAAGTAAAAAATAAAGACTCTGTCTCATAAAATATTGGGAGGCAGTTAAATAAATAAATTTGGCCATACGTGGTCATGAATCTGGAGGCTGAGGCAAGAGAATTGCAAGTTCAATGAGGGAGAGAGCCTGGGCTAAGATTTGTCTCAGAAGCCCAAACAACAGGGGTTGGCTGAGTAGTGGTGGTGCACACCTTTAATCCCAGCACTCGGGAGGCAGAGACAGGCAGATCTCTGTGAGTTCGAGGCCAGCCTGGTCTAAAAAGTCAGTTACTTGACAGCCAGAGCTGTAATACAGAGAAACCCTGTCTTGAAAAACCAAAAAGCAAAACAACAGTAACAACAAAACAACGGGCTGGAGAGATAGTTTAACAGAGTCACTGGCTGCTCTTCCAGAGGACCCAGGTCCAGTTCCCTGCAGACACATGGAAGTTCCCAACCGCCTGTGACTCCAGTCCAAGAGCATCTGACACTGTTTTCTGATGGTTGTGGGCACCAGACATGTACATGGTGCACCAAACATGCATGCAGGCAAAGTTCTCATATAAATATAAAATAAAATTTCTAAGTAAAAAAATAATTAAAAAGCAAAATGACAGCTGGGCATTGGTGGCTCAAGCCACTTGGGAGGCAGAGGCAGGTGGATCTCTGTGAGTTCAAGACCAGCCTGGTCTACAAGAGCTAGTTCCAGGACAGCCTCCAAAGCCACAGAGAAGCCCTGTCTCCAAAATAAAATAAAACAAAACAAAAAGGCAAACAATGAAAACACAAGGAAACAAATAGACAACAACAAAAAAATTTAGCTTGTGAAGTTGTTAAATGAATAAAGTTGCTTTCCACTAAGCTTAACGGCCCAAGTTTGATTCCTGGGACACACCTGTTGGAAAAAGAGAACCAACACCCTCAAGTTGTCCTTTGATCTCCACATCCATGCTATAGCACGTGTGTTTCCACCCCCACCCAGAATAAATAAATAATTTAATGTTTTTTAAAAAGGCCAAAACACAGTACACAGATGACTCAGCAGGTAAAGGCACTTGCTGCCAAACTGACTACTTAAATTCAATCCCTGAAGCCCACGTGACGGAAGAAGACTCCCACAACTAGACCTCTGACCTCCTCACTCACACTGTAGCACGTGAGACCAACACCCACCAACAAATGAAAAGAAATATTTTTGTTTTTAATTTTGCTTACTTATTTATTATGTATACAGTATTCTGCCCACATGTATGCCTGCACCTCAGGAGAGGTAACCAGACCGCATAACAGATGGTTGTGAACCACCATGTTGTTGCTGGGAATTGAACTCAGGACCTCTGGAAGAGTAGCCAGTGCTCTTTTTTTTTTTTTTTTAATTTATTTATTGTATATGCAGTGTTCTGCCTGCATGTATGCTTGCACACCAGAAGAGAGCACCAGATCTCATTACAGATGGTTGTGAGCCACCACATGGTTTCTGGGAATTGAACTCAGAACCTCTGGAAGAACAGCCAGTGCTCTTAACCTTTGAGCCATCTCTCCAGCTCCCATAATTAAATGTTTCCTAAAGAATGGTTTTTAGTCAGAAAAATAAAACATTTGGATTTCAGAGAAGTTTCGATTTTATGGACTAAGGATGGTGAAGGTTTTTTGGTTCCTTTTTTTCTTTCTTTCTCTCTCTCTCTCTCTCTCTTTCTTTCTTTCTTGGTTTTTCGAGACAGGGTTTCCCTGAGACTTTGGAGGCTGTCCTGGAACTAGCTCTTGTAGAAAAGGCTGGTCTCAAACTCACAGAGATCCACCTGCCTCTGCCTCTCGAGTGCTGGGACTAAAGGCTTGAGCCACCAACACCCAGCTTTTGGTTCCTTTTAAAACAAAACAAGCTGAGCAGTGGTGGTGCACACCTTTAGTCCCAGCACTCGGGAGGCAGAGGCAGGCAGGTCTCTATGAGTTAATGCCATAGAGTGAGTTTCAGGACAAGCTCCAAAGTTACATAGAAACTCTGACTCGGAAAAAAAAAAAACACATTAAAGACAAAACAAAACAAAGCATAAACAAACAAAAACCAATATAGGTTCTTAAGCTCCTAGGCTCATGTGATCCTTCTCCATTAGCCTCCTAAGCAGTTAGAATCTTAGGCATTTTCTACCATGTTCACTGTAGTGAGTCCTTAATGATGGCTGCTTTTAGTATCTCTCTCCCTTTGGGCAGGTACCCTCTATGTCTGGTACCTGTGTTCAGGTACCCTCTATGTCTGGTACACATGCTCCCCCTAGAATAGTCTTCCCCTCCAGGCAGGTAACCTCTATATGTGGTACACATGCTCCTCCTAAAATAGTCCTTCTGGGTAGGTATCCTTTATGTCTGGTACCTGTGCTCTCCCTAGAATAGTACTTTCAGCTTTTGTTTTTCCCATGATAGGGTTTCTCTGTGTAGCCCTGGTTGTCCTGGAACTTACTCTGTAGACCAGGCTGGCCTCAGACTCACTGAGATCTGCCTGCCTCTGCCCCCCAAGTGCTGCGATTAAAGGTGAAAGTTCCCCTTGTGTCTCTCCTGTTGGCTTTCCTAAGTCCAAAACTGGGTGTGTGTAGATGGAAGTTTCTGTCCTGCCTGGTCCCGCAGCTGTTTAGTTCCAAATAAACACACAGAGGCTTATACTAATTATAAACTGTTTGGCCAATGACTCAGGCTTCTTATTGGCTATCTCTGTCTTAATTATTAACCCATTTCTATTAATCTGTGTATCTCCACGTGGTCTTGGCTTATGGGATCTCTAGCTTCCTCGCAGCTACATGGCTCGGTTCCTTCTCCCTGACTCTGCCTTTCTCTATCCCTGTTTGGATTTCCCACCTGGTTGAATCCTGCTTGTCCGTTTTTCCAAAACAGCCTTATTCATCAACCAATAAGAGAAACATATTCACAGCATACAAAGGCCATCTTCTATCAGGTATGTGTGCTCACATGCATGCAAGTACAGTGTATGCCTAAATGTGCACATGTGTGTGTGTGCGCATACTACACACATGCGGTATGAGTATAGGTATACTAATCTGTGCAGGTCTCAGAAGTTAAAGGAGGACTGTGGTGTCCTGCCCTATAATTCTTCACCTTATTTCCTTGACATGGGTCTATGGCCGAACCTGGAGCTCACCATTCTTCTGCTTGATCCCACATGTTGGTTGGTCAGCAAGTTCCCAGGATCCTGCTGCCTCCACCTGCCGCAGCACTGGAATGACAGGCATGTGGCTATGTTCCTCTTTGTTATCTGGATACTGGATATCTGAACTCAGGACCTCATGTCTGTGTAGCAAGTGCTCTTACCCAGTAATTCGTCTCCAATCCCTCATAATTTTAGAAATATATCTGTTAGTTCTCTAGTTTTAGTTGGCCATGTCTTCTCCAGATTCCTTCTTTCTCCTCATCACCGAGTCTCCAGCTCAGGGCCTTGCGCATGACAGGCTAGTAAAATACCACTGAGTTACAGCTACAGCCTTGTGTGGGGAGATAGGAAGGAAGGAAGGAAAGAGTGGAGGGGGACAGGGTTTTGTCTTTGTTAGCCATAAAACTGTGATTCTCCTGACTCAGTCTCCCAAGAGTTGGGATTACAGATTATAAAATGGTGACGCTATGCTATTCTCTTGATAGTTTTTAATGTTTTGTTTTGGTCTTGGAGAGATGGCTCAGAGGTTAAGAGCACAAACTGCTCTTATAGAGGACCCAAACTTGATTTCCAGCATCCATGTGGGTAACTTCAGCTCCAGGGGTATCCAACCCTGTTGTGGTTTGCATAGAACCACGCAAACATACACAATTTAAAAAATACAAATAAAAATGAGTCTAAGGTTTTATTTGTGTTGTCTCGGTTCCTTCCACGTTTGTTTTGTGGTTTGCTCTCTGGCTCTTCTGGTAGAGGAAAACATTGTATCTGATAATCTTTGGCTTCTGCTTATCACTAAAAGGTAGAACTAAGGCTGATTGAAAGCTCAGTGCATAATGATGAAAGTCATTGGCCATGAAGTCATTTGTCCAGGAGCCAGTGACCAGAAAGGTCACTGACCATGAGAAGCTGTTTGTTGGGAGACCTTTATGCATTAGCACAAGCTGCTTCTCATCGGGCTTCATCTTCTCTAGAGAGACAGACTCATTTGCCCCTTTTTAGTGTGGTGCTCCTAGTTGTACTGGGTGACTCTCCTTCTGGACATTGATGAACCTCCACGAGAGGGAGTGTGATGGGGAAAGGGAGTTTACCTTCTGCTTGTCCTTACTTCACCCTCCACCTCCAGGGACAGCAAAAGTAGATCAGTTCCTGAACATAGCAGGCTGCTCTTAGCTCGCTCCTGTTTCTGCCCCAGGATTCAGAGTTCTGGAATTGGCCAGGTCTATTCCCAAGCCGCCTCCTGATTTATCATCTGCACTATTCTGCACTATACTGTCCCCACCCACCAGCTTTCTTTATACTTGAAAACAAGCCTCTACTGAGGTTTTGGTGGGTTTTGAAGGTTAGGGTATAGGAGAACTGAATGCATGAGAAATACAGCTATGTTCTTCTTCTACAGAATACCAACCCATTGTGTCTCTTTTTGGAGACAGAGGTCTATGAAAACTTGACTGACCTGGACCTCACTATGTAGCCAACAAGGTGGCTTCAAACAAGTGCTCTTAACTGCTGAGCTATCTCTCCAGCCCCTATTTTAATTTTGAGACGGGGTCTTACCACGTTGTCTAACTTGTCTTGAGTTCTCTCTATAGCCCAAGCAGGCCTTGAACTTGCAATCCTCTTGCATCAGTCTTTGTTGTAGGTCTGAAACAAAATGGGTTTGGTGTTGTATATCTGAAATGAGAAGTCAGACCCAAACAGATGCCTCTTGCTAACCATGTGACCCTGGGAGCTGCTTAGTTTCATGAGTCCCTCTCTGTTTCTCTAATGATTGTCATTATATCACAGGGTCGCCATGAGTGTTGAAGAAAACTCATAGGGAATGCCCTGCACAATGCCTGGCACACAGTATGCGCTCAATTAGTGGACACTGTTTATTGTGCCTTACTAAGAGGATTTTGTAGTGATAAGTAAAGTGTTGCTAAGCTAGTTCTACACTTCTCAACTCCAGTATTTACAGCATTTAGTGAATTGTGGAGACAGATTAGCATAAAGTGACAGTCAATAAATCTTAGCCTCCTTTGTTGCATTTTTGTGTTGAACGCAGGGCCAATATGGAGGTGGAAAGGCAAACATCTATATGTTTGAACACTGCACTGCAAACATTCATGTTTGAACACTGCATGCATCTTCCTGATCCATCTGTCACGGGGCCAGTTCTGGGCACTTCCTTAGTTGCAGAGATTTCACCTGTCCACATGAGAACAGAAGAGGTGGCACACCTGCTTCCTCCAAGCCAGGAGTAATTATGGAGACAGGAGGATGGGCATATAGCCCAGGGCTGATGGCTGTCTATGCTGTTTTGTTTTTGTGCTGATTTGTTTGTTTTTCATTCCAGTTTACAAAGCACAGCATAACTGTCACTTCTCTCTCTCTCTCTCTGTCTATATATATATATATATATATATATATATATATTTGTATGAAGTTTCCGATGTACACTATATATATATATATATATATATATATACATATTTTTTTTCTGAGGCAGGATCTCGTAATACAGCCGGATAGCCTTGAGCTTGTCATGTAGCATGGTTGGCTGACCTGCATCTCCCAATCTTCCTGCCTCACACAAATGCTGCCATTGCGGCTTCATGCCATGATGCTGACTTGATGTTGATTTTTACAAAATAGTTTTCTTTCTCATTTAAAAATAGCATAAGAATTTAAAGCAGTGTATCTGGCTTTGGGAGATGGCTCAGTAAGTAAGAATGCTGCATGCTGTGCAAGCATGACAACCTGTGTTTGGATTTCCAGCACCCAGGCAAAAAACTGGATGTAGCTGAGAGCTCCTATGATCCTGGTGTGAGCTCCTGTAAGCCTGGGGGACTGGGGCACAGATGGAGTGGGAGGCAGAGCTAAAAAATGGCAAGCTCGCTGGGCGTTGGTGGCGCACGCCTTTAATCCCAGCACTCGGGAGGCAGAGGCAGGCGGATCTCTGTGAGTTCGAGGCCAGCCTGGTCTACAGAGCGAGTTCCAGGACAGCCTCCAAAGCCACAGAGAAACCCTGTCTCGAAAAACCAAAAAAAAAAAAAAAAAAAATGGCAAGCTCTGGGTTCAGTGAGACACCTGTGTAAACAAATATGGTGGAGACTGGCAGAGTAGGACATATGATGTCCTCTTCTGGCCTCTTTGGGTGCAGCAGGCAATACCGCATACAAGTGTACACACATGCATAACACACACACTTTAAAAATGTGTAATGTGCCAGGCGTTGGTGGCGCATGCCTTTAATCCCAGCACTCGGGAGGCAGAGGCAGGCGGATCTCTGTGAGTTCGAGACCAGCCTAGACTACCAAGGGAGTTCCAGGACAGCCTCCAAAAGCCACAGAGAAACCCTGTGTCGAAAAAAACAAACAAACAAACAAAAATGTGTAATGCAGGCTGGAGAGATGGCTCAGAGGATAAGAGCACTACCTGCTTCTCTAGAGGTCCTGAGTTCAATTCCCAGCAACCACATGGTGGCTTACAACCATCTGTAATGAGATCTGGTGTCCTCTGCAAGCCTGTGGACATACAGACATGTGCTATATACATAATAAATAAAAAAAAAGGAAAAAAATGTGTAATGCATCTTGATAGCAGATTTGGACTTTTAGTTTTTGATTAAATGACGAATTTTGCATCTGTATTAATAGAAAATAACTTTTAGATGGGTTCTTTGCTTTAGATATTAACCAGATCTAATCACAAGGCACAATGCTTTAATTTTTTTGTTTTGTTTTGTTTTTTTGAGACAGGGTTTCTCTGTATTGTTTTGGAGGCTGTCCTGAAACTTGCTTTGTAGACCAGGCTGGCCTGGAACTCACAGAGATCCGCCTGCCTCTGCCTCCCGAGTGCTGGGATTAAAGCTATGCGCCCACCAACACCCAGCATGTTTTAATTTTTTGATTTGTTCTTTACTTCCCTGGGAGTGGTGGTAGTGGTAGTCATTGTTTATTTAATTTTGAAGTGTGTGTGTCTGTGTGTGTGTTCCATTGCCCAGGCTGCCCTCAGTCTCTTAAGACCATGTATTCATCCTGCCTCTGCCTCTGTAGTTCTTAAATCCACAGCCCACATCACCACATGACTACCCCCTGCAGTAGGCTTTTGTTATTTTCTGTTTTTGTTTGGCTTTGAGACAAATTCTTGCTATGCATACCAAGAAGTCCTGGAACCCAGTATTCTCCTGCTTCAGCTTTTGGTGTGCTGGGATTTCAGGTGTTTACCAACAGGGCTGGCCTTCAATTAGAAGGTTTTGATTTACTTCATTTTTTTTAACAAGCATTTATTGTGTGTGCATGTGGAGGTCAGAAGACCACTTATGGAGCCAGTTCCCTCCTTCTACTATGTGGGTCCCAGGGATTGAACTCAGGTCACTGGGCTTGGTAGAGAGTGACTTTACCCCATGAGCCAACTCACTGACTGGACTGGAGGGTTTTAAAAAGCCCAAATTCACTCTTGCCTGGATCTGTTCCTGGGTGGATAACTCAGAGAACTGTGTGTGTGCTGCAATGTTCTAGAGACCAAGGTTAAGCCCAGGGAGACCTCGATCTGAATAATTCTGGTTCTTCTATTTATTTTCTCTGGATTTCAAGCTGAAATCTCTGAAGCCCAGTTTTCACATTTGTAAAATGAGAAATATTAGTATCATTAATACTATGATGGTAACATTATGGAATGATCAGGAATGTTGAAGAAGATAATATATAAAAATTGTTTAATACACGTCCCATACAAAGTGATAATTTGAATTTCTCTTTTAAAAATTTATTTCAAGCTGGGCAGTGGTGGCGCAGGCCTTTAATCCCAGCACTCGGGAGAAGAGGCAGGCGGATCTCTGTGAGTTCAAAGCCAGCCTTGTATAAGTGATGTATGTTTGGACTCACCTGCATCATGGGTGGAATGGTCGTAGGACAACTTTGTGGAATCAGTTCTTTTCCCACCCTTACCTGGGTTCTGGGGAAAGAATATGCACAGGTATTTAGCTTTGATGCAAATGCCTTTTCCCTGCAAGCCATCTTATCAGCTGTCAGACTCTCTTAAAAAGAGTTCTTACTGTGTTGCTGAGGCTGCTCTTGAATTCTTGGGCTCAAGCGAAGCTCTTGTTGCAACATCATACCTGCTAAGATAACAGCAAAAAACTATCACACCAGCTTGGATTTTCTCTGAAGTACTTCATACCCTATTGGGTATGTGGCTCATGCTAAAAAGATGAAGGTATTACCAGTTATATAAAGTTCCTAACTGTCAGATTTATGGCATTTGAAAAAATATGTCAGGCTGGGGATTTGACTCAGCTGTAGAGCGTTTTTCTAGCATGTGCTAGAGTTCCCTGTACACACACACACACACACACACACACACACACACACAGAGTACACACACACACACACAGAGTACACACACACACACACAGAGAGAGAGAGAGAGAGAGAGAGAGAGAGAGAGAGAGAGAGAGAGAGAGAGAGAGAGTCGGTCAGTCAGTCAATAAGAACTCTCTTTAGTCCAATACTTAGGAACTTGTCTTCCATGTTTGTAACTCTGACAGTTTCTAGCATCAGGATTGGCACACAGTAGGTTCCCCAGCCCACAGCTCTTGAATCACCTTAAGTAAAATGAACATCCATTTAGACATTAGCTCAAAAGCTCTGTCACCAAATAGCCACCATTCCAAAGGTGACAGTCAATCATGAATCAAGCATGCCTGCAGATGGGGTAAGCCAGGATTTCAACTTCCTGCATTGCAGGCATCTTACTATCCCATTCCATTCCTGACCCTTAGGAAGAGAGGGCAAACCAAGGCGAGCCTGCCTCAGCAGCCGAGAGATGCTTTGGTGTGGGCCTTATAGGCTTCCACCCTGGCCCTTGCACCACCTATGGGTGTCAATTAGTCCCTCCCAGCAGCATTTTCCTCATCTGTGGGAAGTGAATGGCTACTCTCTCATCTGATTATTGAGAGAAAGCTGTCTTCCATCTTCTGCTGTTCTCGCTGTCTGGGAGCCTTGTCCTGTTTTCATTCTTTGGAAGTTTTCATTCTTTGTTACTTTGTGTCACACTTACTTGTATTACACATCCTGCTTTTTCAGTTGACTTTTTATTTTTTTCTTTCTTTCTTTTTTTTTGCTTTGGTTTTTCGAGACAGGGTTTCTCTGTGGCTTTGGAGGCTGTCCTGGAACTCACTTGGTAGTCCAGGCTGGCCTCGAACTCACAGAGATCCGCCTGCCTCTGCCTCCCAAGTGCTGGGATTAAAGGCGTGTGCCACCACTGCCTGGCTTTATTTTCTTTCTTGAGACAGGGTCTCACTATGCAGTCCTGGCTGGCCTGGAACTCTATGTAGACCAGGCTTGGCTTGAACTCACAGAGATCCACCTGCCTCTGCCTCCACACCTAACCCTTTACCATCACTTTTTCTAGAATGTCTTCCCTAGTGGCTATGGTATATTTGGCTCACTGATAAAGTCCCCCTGTATCACCCACTGATTTTTTTATTGTTTATTTATTATGCATACAGTTTTTTATCTGTGTACATGCTTGTACCCCAGGAGAAGGCATCAGACCTCATTATAGATGGTTGTGAGCCACCATGTAGTTACTGGGAATTGAACTCCGGACCTCTGGAAGAACATGCAGTGCTCTTAACCTCTGAGCCATCTGATTATTTTTTTAATTATTATTTATTATTATGTATACAGTATTTTTTATTATTATGTATACAGTATTCTGTATGCATGTATCTCTACAGGTCAGAAGAGGACACAAGATCTCATTACAGATGGTTGTGAGCCATCGTGTGGTTGCTGGGAATTGAACTCAGAACCTCTGGAAGACCAGCCATAGTTCTTAGCTGCTGAGCCATCACTCCAGCCCAGCACCCACTGATTCTTTGTTAAGTTTTTCCTTTTTGGGTACTCAGGATGAAACTCAAGGCTTCGTGCATGCTAGCCCATCATTCTACTGCTGAGCTACATCCCCAGGCCTGTAATTGTTTCTCAAACTACTCTCTTTCTTTCTGGATTGTGAATCCCTGAAGGATCAGAACAGAGTCTATTTCATTCATTCCTGTATCTCAAATGTCCAGTCGTTGCTTGGGGCACACTATTTTTAGTAGACTGTTTTTGCTAAAAGAGTGTAAAGGATGAAAGGATGAAATATGTTATTATAGGGATGGCAAGATAGTGTATTAGGGGCATATGCCTTTATCCAGCATGAGGCCAACCTGGTCTCTCTCACACACACACAATAAATTTATTAATTAAAAAATTTGAATGTCTTTTTTAAACTTTTAAAATTTCTTTTTATGGTGTTTTGCCTGCATGTATGTCTGTGTACGGGTATTGGATCCTCTGGAGCAGGAAAAACTAATTTCAGGATGTAGTGTGGTACACATCTTCAATTCTAGCACTTGGGAGACAAAGGTAGGCAGATCTCTGTGAAAGCAGCCCTGTCTACATAGTGAGTTCAAGGCCAGCCAGGGCTAACAAACCAAAACCTAATCTCTCTGTTCTATACTTTAGGACATTTGCACATCTGCTTGGAGCATTTTCTCCCATCTCTTTATAAGTCTAACCTCCACTCTACCTTTATGTCTTGGTTTTTTTTTCTCCCTTCCTTTTCTTTATTCTTTTCCTGGGTTTTTTTGAGGCATGGGCTCACTATGTAGTCCAATCTTTTTTGTTTCAACCTCCTGTTTAAGTGGGGGATTACAGGTGAGCACCCCCTACACCCAGCGGAATTTTTATTTTAAAAAAATTTCATTACTGTTTCATATGTATGGGTGTTTTGTCTGTGTGCATGCCTGGGTTCCACATGTGTGTATGTATTTCTATTTTTAATGCTGGTCAACAATTTGAAAATGCCTGAAGGCTAGTGACTGCATGGAACGTGCCCATTCGCAGTCTGTGCTGTTCAACCTTTAGCTATCCCTGGTAACTATTTCTGCATTAATCATCACTCTGTCATCACTCCATTCATTATCTGTGGACTCCATGCCAGGTTCTGTCTCAGTACTTCACGTAAATGACCTCCTTAATCTCCTAAACCACCTGTGAGGTCAAGCAAGGTTCAGCAAGGTTGAGACACTTGCCCGAGGTCACAAGGTAGAAACAGATGCTGAAGATCTGTCCACTGATCTGCTGTGCGGTTAAGGCACCATCTTCTGCTTAGAACAGGACAGCTGCTGATCTGTCTGACAACAACTATTAACATTTATTTGTTGCAGGATATCTGTGTGCCAGATATGCACTCTATGGGCCCAATTCTGTCCTTACCACATCTCTGTGAAGGAGTTACTGTTATACCTATTTTATGAATAAGGAAACTGAGGTAATACTCACGGGGGGGGCAAAATCAAGTTCCAAACCCAATCTGATGTCACAGACCCCACTTTTAGGACCCCCTAACTATAATCGTGGTTTGTGGGCAGACTGTGGGGTCATGGGAATGGGGGAAATTGCTAAGAAACTTTATGCGGTTAATCCAGAATTCCACAGAGAACTCAGAAATCCTTTCTTGGCAGGGATTCGGGGAGAATTTGTGAACCTGTTAGTGAGCCATGTGGCCTGCAGGTGGCGGTGGCAGCAACATTAAGTCTCTAAACTGTAATGTCACATCTGTGATCTCAGCATGCAGGTGAATAAGGAGTTCAAGGTATTCCTTGACCAAGTAGTGAGTTCCAGGTCAGCCTGGGCTACCTGAGTTCCTCTGTCTTAAAAAAAAATATGCACCCAAATAATGGGCATCTTTTCTATTCATAAATTCTGTTTTCCACAAACAACTTGAATTACTTTTAAAAATAAACTCACAGGCCGGGCGTTGGTGGCGCACGCCTTTAATCCCAGCACTCGGGAGGCAGAGGCAGGCGGATCTCTGTGAGTTCGAGACCAGCCGGACTACCAAGCGAGTTCCAGGACAGCCTCCAAAGCCACAGAGAAACCCTGTCTCGAAAAACCAAAAAAAAAAAAAAAAAAACCTCACAGAATAAACTTTAACAAGCACTAACACTTTCTACTTCTATTTTTTTTTTTTTTTTTTGGTTTTTTGAGACAGGGTTTCTCTGTATTGTTTTGGAGGCTGTCCTGGAACTCGCTCAGTAGACCAGGCTGGCCTCAAACTCACAGAGATCCACCTGCCTCTGCCTCCCGGGTGCTGGGATTAAAGGCGTGCACCACCAACACCTGGGTCACTTTCTACTTCTAAATCACTGCTAATCAAGGGAAAAAAAGCAAGAAAGAAAAGGCTTGCTCTTACAAGTGAGTATTCCCTGAAGCAGACATAACAAAATGCCATTTCCCTGGCTAAGCTGCCTCTCAGTTGGCAGAGTGTTTGCCTAGCAAGTTCAAAGCCCTGATCTCAGCACTACAGAAAGCAGGCCTGGCAGCCTGTGATTGTAATCCCAGCATTAGGGAGGTGGAGGCAGAAAGATCAGGGTTCCCGGTAATCTTTAGCTATGTAGTGAGTTTGAGGCCAGCTGGGGGATACATGAAACTGTATTCCAAGATAAAAATAAAGTGCCATTTCTGACAAATATTATTCAACTCTCATTAAATCTTCAAGTACAGCCCAATACAATCAAGTCTATTGTATGAGGCAATTATACTTCTCTGAGATAATAATAGAACAGGAAAGCCCAAAACAAATGAGAATATATATCGTGGAAGTGGGGAGAATTCCATAAGTATATATTCCTTCTGGAGATTCGCCATGAACAGATCTCAACTGTGCAAGCTGCTCCCTGTTTTCCCTGCTCCCCTTTAACCTCTTTGGGCCTGCTCAAGGGTAGGTGGGCACAGGGGGTAGTGGGACTTTTTCTTTTACCGAGGGCTCTGGAAAGACAGCAAACTGTCTGGGCTGTAATTTATTGTTATTTTTAAATGTTATAGATTGTGTATTTGAAAGGCATAGATTTTCTCCTGTGTTTCTTTCTGTATGTATCATAATTTAAAAATGTTTATAAGCCAGGTGTTGGTGGCCCACGGCTTTAATCCCAGCACTTGAGAGGCAGAGACAGGCGGATCTCTGTGAGTTCGAGGCCAGCCTGGTCTACAGAGCAAGTTCCAGGACAGCCTCCAAAACAATACAGAGAAACCCCGTCTCAAAAAAAACAAAACAAAACAAAAAAAACCAAACAAACAAAAAAAAGTTTACATTTAGGCTGGGTGTGCACGCCTTTAATGGCAGCATTTGGGACGCAGAGGCAAGTGGATCTCTGTGAGCTCCAGGCCAGCATGGTCTACACAGATAAACCCAGTCTCAAAAAACTAAAAGAAAAAAAAGAAAAAAGAAAAGAAATAAAGAAATAAAAAGTTATATATAGGTTTAATATGGGTGTGACTTTCAGAAAGATCCTCCAGCA